AGTTACCTGAGGTGGACACTCTTGGTGCACCCCCTTGTGGGCTTTGTGCACAGTCTTGTTGTAGTTATGCCTTGATTGTTGTAGGATCACTGGGAGGAATTGACCTCCAGGCCAGTTGGCAGTGAGAATCAGCTGTGTCTGCAGTGGGAGGACTTCTGTGCTGAAGACACCCTTCTGGGGCAAGACTTGCTTCAGTGGGGCTTTGGTGCTCACTGAGTCTGCGCCCTGAGTGTGTCCCTTATGGATCTGAGGAGTTGTAATCTGGATGGTCCCCCTCTGACCACTGGGTACACTGGCTCTTGGATCTAAGGAGGTGCTAATTTAGCCTCTGCCTGAGGTTACCCAGCAGGAGCTACGAAGAGAACTGCAAATTCCCCTTCCTTTTTTGGAGTTTGGAGGTGCCCTGATGAGGCCCAGCTATGAAGCAATGCAAGGTGTCCTGTAGGGCCTTGGGCCTTCTCTTGGAAGTTCTGGGTCTGTCTTGCCCAGCTGCAATTTGTTAGGTAATTTTCAGGTTGCAAAGGGCCAGGGCATTCATATGCAAAAGCCTCTGCCGCAGCCTGGGTGGGGCGGGGTCTCAGGGAATCAAAGGGCGGAGCAAGCAGCTATGGCTGGTCCTCAGCCCTGCCCTAAGGGGCCGCGCGTCTCAGTGTCCCGATAATTGCTGCAAGCACCTCTGAGGGAAAGCCGCCCTCAAGTTCCAAGTTCTGCCTGCTGCCAGACAGTCCAGTTTCTCCCTGCATGAGTCCTGAGTCCCCAGAGACTTCCTGGAACCGGAGTTCAGAGCAGTCAGGAGCTTGTGACTCCCTCCCAATTAAGAAAGACAGATGCGACCTCAGGTGCCAGCCCCTTTCTGCGCTCGCGCGCTCAAGCCTCCGTACCTTTGCACTTTACTTCCGCAGCTCCTGACTCTCAGTGTGTTTTTCTCTTTCCTTCTAGTTGTAGAATTTCCACTCAGCCAGCCTTCCTGTAGTTCTAGATAATGTCTGTTTTGTCTTTTCGTTGTATTTTGGAAGTTGTTGTGGGAGGCAGCAATTTCTCGGTATTTACCTATGCCGCCATCTTAATTTCTCTCTTAATTTATTTTCATTGTCTAAAGTTTTACATATGTCTCCTTTTTCCCCACTTGACCCCCCTTCCTTGATTGAACTCTTAGAGTGGGTTTGACACTGGGAGTGAGAACAGATACAGAATAAATAAAATGTATAGTCCTGTATGAGTGGGAGGCGGGGAGGATGGGGATTTAATGGGGGGGATGAGGACACATTTGTAATACCTTAACTAATAAAGAATTTAAAAAAATGTATAGTCCTTGCCTCTGGAGAGTACACAGTTAAGTTGGGGAGATGGTCAGTGTACAGACTTGCAAAAGAAGAAGAAAGCTCCACAGGTGGTAAGTGCCACATGAATGGTTCAGAAATTCAGGGGCCTTGTGTTGTGCCAGGACACAGAAATAAGTATAACATTGGGGTCAGCTTTTGAGCCAAGACTTTAGCTTAGCAAAGAAGTAAACCAAAGGACAGTGTATGCTTGTTCTGAGGCAACAGGTATTTTTCAGCCACTGCTGCACTCACGGTTGGTAATCATTTAATCAGCAGTGGTTCCAGTCATGAAGGACAGCAAGGTAAATGTATGGTATAAATTCAGTTCAGAAATTGAGCCAAACACTATTACCTAACCTTTAAAGCAAAGAATCATTTGAAACCGAAAGAAAGGCTACCTAAGCAGGAGACAAGATGAAAACTAGGAAGACTTGGGGAAGGCTTAAATTTCTGCAAGTGATGGTAGCCGACCAACAGTCTGTCTACCACCGATTGCCAAAGATGGGATCTGATCATATTAAGCTAGGTAGGTGTTCCCATCTGTCTAGGGGATCCTTAGGAATCTGTCTGGTCAGCCTGGGTGTTTTGAGGCAGGATGGGGAGGGAGGATGGCCAGTGGGTGACTTGGCTGAAGTTGAGCCCGAAGGTTGAGCCAGGTACTCTCCCTGGGTTGTGAGCCCTCTGGGTCAAGGGCAGGGTTCATCTGGGGAACCTACCAGGACCACCACGCCTGGCTCATTAGTGGATGTCTGGGGAGGCCTTTGAAGATGAAACATCCCATAAGCACTCAATGTTTCAGTTTTTTGAACAAACTAGTACTTTGGTCTCCAGGGGCAGTTGATCTGGCCCCTTTGTGTGTTCTGGAATTTGCTACAAACTGAGGGAAATAGGAAAAAAAAATATATGAAATAGTTTTTGAAAAAAACAACTAAACTCCCACGAAACCTCCAGACTTTAGCTTGTAAATAGGATTCCTCCCCATCCACTTTTCACATTCTTGGGTTTGGGTGCACTCTGTCTTGACCTGTTCCTTTGCCTGCTGGGTGTGTGTGTGTGTGTGTGTGTGTGTGTGTGTATGTGTATGTATGCATGCTTCTGGTTACCGGACTAGCAGCAGCCAGTATATGGTGATAGCTGAATAAGCTGATGCTGATGCGTATCTCCCGCAGGCACAAGAACTGGCTGGCAGGCTCGATTCTGAACTCCCATTTCATTGTTTTCAAGATGCATTTCTGTGACTGTCCTGTGTCACAGAGAAGGGAAGGAGGATGAGAGGGAATAAATGACTCTATGATCTGTTGGGGACAATGATTGGGGTGGGCATTTTGTACCTTTATAATGGCTCTTCATTTTTTTTTTCATGGCTCTTTTCAGTTTATTGCATGAAGGAGTTAAACTAGTCCAAGTTAAAAGCAGACCCCAAAAGGTTACATTATACAAGTTGAGAGGTTTTTAAACCTGTGACAAGGGACAGAAGGGAAATTCTACTCATTGCAAAGAAATCCTCACTTAAGCTTCTGTGAGCCAAAAGCACTTAAAACCCATGAACCTTCAGCTGGTCGTCCTTAGCCAGTCCAGTTCTCGACGAGGAACTGGCATATGTTCTTGCGCTGGTCACCCTGCAGCTGCATTACTTCTCCATATTCTGGATGCTCAATAACAGTACCATTGCAGGCAAATTTCTTCTTAAAGGCCTTCACTAGTTTCTTTTTAACATAATCATCAGCGATCCCTTGGATAGTAGTAAGGGTCTTCCTGCCGTTTCTCTGTTGAATTCTTGTATGGATAGAATCCTCAGTGCCAGCGGGAAGCAGGTCATCACCCTTACTTGCATCAGCAAAGGGATCGAAAGAGTGGAGGTTCTGGATAGTGGACATAAGATATGATTCCTTTTCCTTGGTGGAAACGGCCTGCTGAAGGCTGCGGCAGGAGAAGGTGGGCAGGGGGGACAGAGCGTCGGGAAGCGAGGGGGGCTCAAGGAGGAGGTTGCCGAGTCCTCGACGGCAGCTCAGTCACTGGGCTGGTTCTTCATTTTTTAGCAAGTGTTTGTTAAGAACCTACTATGTGCTAGACATAAGCATCTGATCTTAGTAAGCTGCTAGTGAGGTCAGAAGAGAACCTGGGAGTTAATTCAGTTATTCATCTGCTATGTGCCAGGTGCTATTCAAGGTACAGGAACACAGCAGCGAACAAAATAGAAAAGGAGCTGACATTATTGTAGGAGGAGAAAAACAATAGAACAAGAAACAAATATGTGATGTGTCAGATGGTAATAAATGCTGTGAAGGAAAGTGGGATAAATCGGGGGTGGGAGGAGTGTGTGTGTGTGTGTGTGTGTGTGTGTGTGTGTGTGTGTGTGTGTGTCTTATAGGTGGTTATTGAAAGCCTCTTTGGTAAGGTGACTTTTGAATAGATACCTGGAAGTGACAGAGTACTCCATGAAGTTGTCTAGGAGAGGAAGCATTTCAGGCAGAGTGAATAGCAATTACAAAGCTTTGGAGGCAGGGAAGTGTTGGGGAATTGAAGTGGAGTAAGCAATGGGAAGAGTAGTGGATCTGATGAAAGAAGCAGATCATGCAGGACCTTGTAGGCCACGGTGTGGCTTTCGGTGTTACTGAAAGGGAGTTAAGAAGCCAAGAGAGGGTTTTGAACAGAGAAGCAACAAGACCTGATTTTGGTTTTAAAATAGACTGAAGGGGGTTAAGGAAGAAAGCCTCATTGCTTTGTGACCATGTGGATCTGCTGACCTTGGATGGGCCATGCCAAGCCTAGGATTTACCTGGCTGAGGAACAAGAGGTAGTCTTCACACCCCACTTTCACCCAGAATATACTGTTGTATGAAGGGCACCACTTTAACAGCCAGCATTTCAGAGTGGAAAGGATCAGACTCTTTTAGGCATGCTGCTTTCTTTTTTTCCTCATTAATTGTGATGTGTAGAAGGAAGGGGGAATTGCAGAAATGTGAAGACAGAAGCAGTCTCTTGATTAGAACAGAGACATAAACCTTGGGAACCTGGCAAGCCTGAACCTTGTTGGGAGTCACCAAGAGCCACTCCTCATTCCACTCCCTGCTCTCCCACCCTTTCCAGAAGTGTCAGGGTAATGTTGGAGGGAGGGGCATTAATGATCTTGCAACACCTTGGAGTATAGTATACATTGTCAGGACGGAAGGGACCTTATTTATTTTTAAGATTTTTAAAAAATTGATTTTTAGAGAGGGAGGGAGAGGAAAAGAGAGAGAATCATTTATATGAAAGCAGAACATGATCGGCTGCTGCCCCCTACCAGAGATCAAGCTTGCAACCTGGGCATGTGCCCTGACTGGGAATTGAACCAGCAACCTTTTGATGCACAGGACAGTGCCCAACCAGCTGAGCCACACTGGCCAGGGTTGGAAGGGATTTTAGAAAGCATCTATTTCAACACCCTTCCATTTACAGGTGAAATAACTCATCCAAAGTCACATGTACATTACTGGCAGAGCAGTGGTCATGGGTGTTTACTGTTTTGTCTCTGCTCCCAAAGGTTCAAGGTGTGTCTCAGTGAGCCTTAACCTTCATAGTCCTCTCAGTCTCTCAGTTTGTCATGAGTGGACTCCAGCTTTGACTTTGCAAATCCCATTTACGTGAAATTCTGACAAGCAGATGGTGGTAATGAGTTTACATTTCTTTGCCTAGGATCAAGTCCTCCATACCAGGGACCAGGTCAGAACCAGACTGCCACTGCCGCCACTTGGGCCCTACTGTCTTCAGAAAGCAGCTGCTGTGATCATGGGTAATATCTTTGGAAACCTTCTCAAGAGCCTGATTGGGAAGAAGGAGATGCGCATCCTGATGGTGGGCCTGGATGCTGCAGGAAAGACCACAATCCTGTATAAGCTGAAACTGGGGGAGATCGTCACAACCATCCCCACCATTGGTAAGGACACAACTTGGATGTAGGCTTTCATGCCAGCCGCTGAGCAGCCAGGCTGGGGCCTATCCATAGATTCCTCCACCTGGCCACCAGGCAAGTCCATGCAATGTGTGGGTTTCAGGGGAGGATGGTTATTTAGCTTACTAGCAGGTGCTGGGGCTGCTATTTGCCCACCTACCCTAGTCTTCTCTGATGCAGGAACTTCTGCAGCCTGGCACTCAGAAGTTGCCCTCAGGTGCTGAGCTGGTTTGTTCTCTGTGTTGTTTAGAAGGCAGGTGAAGGGCTTTGATGTCCTTGCCAGAGGCCTGGAATTGCTTCAGTATAGAACCTCAGTGGCCCTGATCCTGGTTAGGAACTGCCTGTAGGAGGGAGAACGTTTGGCTTATGGATGGGGCTCCCAATCATTATCTGTAGGTGGTTCTGCATTTGGGGCTCCAGGACTACAGATCACTTCTTTTTTCTTCACTCTGCCTCAGAGGCCCCAGTTCTTAGCTGAGAAATACTCTGGTGGCCAATGTACCGGAGTGGGGCTGAGTCATTTCTTTGTAGGAGGGAGAGCCGAACACAGAATGAGTGGGGAAGGTTGGCTCACATTACCCATGTGATAGGAACCTCCTGATGGGCCCTCCTCATCCTCTTCCACTTCTTCCCTTAGTTTTTCTTTTTGGCCTTTAGGCTACAATGTCAAGGAACACCAGTTCTGAGGAAGCCTTAGCTTTCTCTTCCTTGCTGGGATCATGGTCACGGCTGGGAAAACAAATGAACCCAATGGGGTATCGTTTGCGGACCTGGTGTTTGGGGCCAACTGGCCATTACCTGTTTTTTTCCCCCAAAGGGTTCAATGTGGAAACAGTGGAGTACAAGAACATCAGCTTCACAGTTTGGGATGTGGGTGGCCAGGACAAGATTCGGCCTCTCTGGAGACACTACTTCCAGAACACCCAAGGTATGGCATATGACTTGTCCAGGGACTGGCATGGGTTGGTTGGGTGTGAGCAAAGAGTGTAGCTGTCATTCTTGGTATGGGTAGTGAACCCTGGCCCTGCTGTAGCTCCTGTGGGTTGGAGAAGAGGAGCAAATATTTGGAAGATATAAGGAGGGTGTTGTCTTTTGGTGGTGGGGGAGGGGAATTCATCTGTCGTCTTTGTGCAGCCCATGCTCTGCCTCCCTAGGGTTGATATTTGTGGTCGACAGCAATGATCGAGAGCGAGTAAATGAGGCCCGGGAGGAGCTGATGAGGATGCTGGCAGAAGATGAGCTTCGGGATGCTGTGCTCCTTGTCTTTGCAAACAAACAGGTGAGATTTCTCCCCACCCCTGGATTTTAGAGAGGGCAGCCTGGCTTCAGAAATTAAGGGCCTTGGATGGAGCTCAATGTACAGGAAACCCTATGACTATGCTCTCAATTTTAGAAGTGTGGGAAATAGGATAAGTTGGCTTTTTATGCTCTTCTTGTCCTCCATCCTTGCTTTAATTAGCTACATTCTATCCTACCATCCTATCCACTTCCCTACCATTCCGATATTTGGTTTCCACCAACCGAATGGAATGACCTCTGATATCTTGGATCTGGGGCTCTGGGATGACTAAGTGCAAATCAGCTTCTTAGGATTTTGTTCTGGGTCCCTAAAGTGGAGGAGGAGGAGGAGGAGAGGGTACCGGTAAAGTGCTCGTTGGTAATGGGTGCTCTAGAAGCCTTTGAAAGATTCTGAGGCTTCTTTCTTTGTGTCTCCCTTGTGCTCCAGGATTTGCCTAATGCTATGAATGCTGCTGAGATCACAGACAAGTTGGGCCTGCATTCCCTGCGTCATCGCAACTGGTATATTCAGGCCACCTGTGCCACCAGTGGGGACGGGCTGTACGAAGGCCTGGACTGGCTGGCCAATCAGCTCAAAAACAAGAAGTGAGAGCCAGGCAGCTCTATCTGACCACCCCCACCACTCCTAATATACCTACTGTCTCCCTGCCCAGCCCTACCCCTTCCTTCCCATTGCCAGTGTGGCCAGGGCCCTGGGTATCATGTCCGCATGCCCAATAAGAGCCTTATCTCTCCTGCCTCCCTTTCTTTCCCCTGTCCATGACCAGTCCCCAATTGCTGTCCTTATGATGAATCATTCCAATTTATCAGATTTAAAACAAAAACAAGGTTGTTATGGTTTCATGGGGTGCCTCCCCCGTCCTCTGAGGTTTGGGAAGTGGGGTGGGGTAGTCTCTCTGTTTGCTTCGTTTGGCTCTGGTTGCTGTGCTCTTGGCATCTGAGTCCCTTCCCTCTTCCTACAGACCCCTCTCCTACCATTTTTTTCCCTTCACTACCCTCTCCCTGTTCTACGTGGAAATTGCACGGGCCTCTCTTTATGTGCGTGCATGTGTGCGCGTGTATATACATATATAAAGAGATACATATGTAGGGGCCAGGAAGAAGGGTAGAGCGGGTGGAGGACAGCTCAGGGCTTGCAGCCCACTCTAGCCCATCACCTGCCCCTCCCATGTTGGTGAGATAAAGGAAATAAGGTCAAGGGAAGGCTGCCCCAGTCTTACACTGATTCCTCTCTTCTCTGCAGGTAGGTTTTCCTGGATGATAGGACAGATGATGGATTTTCCACCACCATCTTCCTATTACCCCTTTCTTCACCCTGCTTAGGGCAGAAGGTGGCATTTATATCTAGATGACTGTTCCCAAGGAGATGCCATTCTGCTCTGCCTTGTTAGTGGGAAGGAGAGAGGAACCCACTCACTCTTATCACTCAGAGTGTTCAACTGATCCTCCCCCTCGTCCTTAGATCTGTTCCTCTCGAGCTTGAAGAGGGGGAGGGGGTGGAGATACAAAACCATGTTGTTTGTTTGAGACCCAGGGGACCTGGGGAGGGTCTCAGGTTTTCCATCTTCATCCTGTTTTTATGAGAAGGTGAGATGTATGGTTTGGTCCTATCCCTGCCTTCCCCTCCTCCTTGCCCCCCTTCCCCAATTTTGAGACTGGGTGGTTCACCTGTCCTTTGTCAGAAGTTTCCTCACTCTAGTGGTCCCAGGCTAGCTGGCTGGTTGATTGGGGAGTGGGGGTGGCAGAGCAGACCTCAATATCGGTCCCTGATGTCCAGGTTTTTTTTTCTAGTCCAAGATGTGCGGAGGGATGGAAATTTTCTATTCTGTTTCCAGACCCTCAGACCATCCTGCTGTCCCTACCACCCCCACCCCAACAGGTTTCCCCTGCCCTCTTCACTCCCATCAACAGATCTGTGGGTTGGAGTGGAGGAACGAGAACTCTGAAGTGGTTGTTGGTGCTGGTGTAAGGCAGTGGTCTTCAGGGTCCCGTGTCCCCCCCCCCCCCCCCCCATTACTATGTAGGTGTTCAGAAGCTGCTGCTACTGTGTCTCCCTTTCTGCAGGGGGCGCTCGTCCCTGAGGTCCTGACTTGCAGTGTATGTGAAGCCTTGGCTTTTCTGTGGGCTCCTGTGTGTGCTGGCTGCGCCCTGAGCTCCAAGATGGCCCCCCATACCTTTCTGCTCAGCTCAGGGCCCAGGGCACCACCCACAGCATGACTGAGGGACCCCTTCCCAGAAGGGCTGTCCCAAGCCCCACCCCATGGGGCCAGGCTTCCTGCCACCTTTGTCTACAACAGGCAGATTAATACCCTTATCCCCAACCCAGATTGAACTGTGAAAGAGGTTCCAGAGGTGTCCTTCTCAGTGCCAGTTCCTTAGTGATGTTTTATTTACCCAAGATGCAGTAGGTGTGTGCAGATCTCTTGCTCTCTAGGCCTTTGTGTGTGTATATGTGTGTGTTTGGTGGTGGGGGAAGTGGGGTGCTGGAGCTTCTATTTCATTTTAACATATTCATTCCCCTGACCCCACAGATGCTTCCCTCCACACTTTTCCCGGCCCCCCCGATTTTTTTTTTTTTTTTTGCTCCTGCTGCCTCTCTCCTTGAACTCTTTCCTTTGCCTCCCAGTTCATTCAGTGCTGCTGCCTGTTTCCCCTCTCCTTGTTTCTTTCCTACTTAGGCTTCCCTCCTCTCTCTCTTTGTGCTTGGTGAGGACTTTGCCTCTTTTCCCGCCTAACTCCTTCTCTGGCCTTCCTTAGTTAGATACTAGTCCCAAATAGGTTAGATACTAGTCCCAAATAGGTTTTCCTCATTTCAGGCCCACCCCCCCCTCATTTTGGGGAGTTCCATGGACCAATGGGGTTAAGGGTGTTAGGAAGCAGCCTTGGTGGTTGCCTTGGTGCTGCTTGAGATTTGTCCAGCAGGGGGCAGTAAGTGATCGTGGTAGTATCCCTGACTGCTAGGCCCTTGGCAGGGTGGACCTTTCTACATTCCCATTCACCTAAAAGGTCTTTTGGGGTTGGGTATTTCATTCCATTTCTGCCCACTCCCTCCCTGCCTCTCCTCTGGTAGATTTCATTTTATGCTTTTCTTTGTTCTGGCCTTTCTTCTCCCCTGGGGTTTCCCCATTTCTCCCCCAAGTTTGTTTGTGGTATTATAGTGGTAACTGCAGTTCTGAACTGGTTTTCTCTTCTTTTCTCCTCCTCTGGAATGTAGACTATATGTGTTTAATAACTCACCTTCTCTCTCCTTGCTCAAAATGTGGGATACGAAATGACTGTGACCATGGTTGGAAATTAAACATGTTTTATGCAGCATTGGAGCAGACCTTCATCCTTGTGCAGCAGCCCTGGGACAGTGGTTTAATGATGAGGGTAGTTCTGTCTCTGGTCCCTGTCTCCAGACTGCTCCTTCAGCAGGGGAGTAAAGGGCACTTGACCGGGGAGAGTGAGATTATGGAGGAACTTAGGTTCATTTTCACGATTCTGCATCTTCTCATCATATCCCGGGAGGGGATCCTAAATGAATTGGACACCAGAGTGTGAGGGCATCATGACTTTGTTACTCTAGTTCTAAAGGGTTTAACCCTGAACTTCATATATATCACCTATTGGTAGACTTTAGGGACTTCACTGGCTAGAGGGCTCTGAACTTTGAGTGCCCCATATTACCTCCATTCTCACATTTCCCATCCCTGTGCATTAGGTGTTTCTAGTTGAAATACAGATAGATAGGAATCTATAGATAGGAGGCCCCTCACCCATTTAGTTCTGGACATTGGCAGTGAATAAGCACAAAAGATAAAGATCTGGATAGTGTAATCAACTTGATTCTCCTTACAGCTGATGGTCTGCATCCCCTCTACTTCAGGCATGGGGTTCCCCATTGTCAGGGTTCCAGCTTCATCCAGAGATTCCACAAACATTTGGGGGGGACGACACAAACTTTTTCATAAAGCCCATCCTACTCCCACCACTACTCTTTTCCTCTCCTGCTACTATTGTCTGGCTCTAGGCAAAGAAAGGGATGGTGCTGCCCTTGGGGTGGGTCAGATCTAGGTGAGCCAGGCAGACATTCCCCACTCTTGCCACTTTCTTAAATTTTGGGGACAGAGGTCTTCCCACCATGATGCTGTGGGGAAGGGTCAGGATTTAGGCTTATAATAAGTTTGAGAGTCCCAAATATCAGTGTGAAGTGTATTATTTATATTCAGTTACCTCCCTGTCCCCCTTCCAGTTTTCCTTTTCAGCCCCTCTCCTGTTATTAAAATAAGCTACCATCTCAAGGACCAGTGCTTCTGCCCTTATGAAACCCTTAAACTACTCCAACCAGACATACCCTTATCAACTCCATAAACATCATTATTATTTTTGGTTGTTGTTAATCCTCACCTGAGGCTATTTTAACATTGATTTTTTTAGGGAGAGTGGAAGAGAGAGGGAAAGACAGAAAGAAACATCGATGTAACACATCGATTGGTTGCCTCCTGCACAAGCCCAACCAGGGCCTGGGCCAGGGAGGAGCCTGCAACCAAGGTACGTGTCCTTGACCAGAATTGAACCCAGGAACCTTTGGTTTGCAGGCCGATGCTCTACCGACTGAGCCAAACCAGCTAGGGCTCAACCCCATAAACTTTAAATATTATCCACTTACCCCTCAAAATCTGATGACACTTTCCTTCCAGTCTTCTCAGAAGTCCTGCTTGGTGACAGGTTATTGATAAGTTAGGAGCTCCTTTCCCAAGTGTTTAATTTGTATAGTAGATAGATGCCTCTCCATAATGATAATGGAGAGGACTTCAGCTGGGTGGGAGGCCAGTGGGGATCTTTTGACTCCTGAACAAACTTGGGAAAGAGGATAATTTAGTCCCTTCTGAGCCTTAGCACTCAGTTTAGGATGCTAGAAAGGAGGTAGAGGGAGTTGCTTAAACCCAGCTTCTGTGGAGGGATATGGGGGAACAGGGGATGTGCTTGCAAAGTAAATGCTTAGCACCCACATCTTAGGACAAACAGCAATCCTATCTTCTCAGAACATGAATAGCTCTTTTTTAAAAATTTTAAATATATTTTATTGATTTTTTTACAGAGAGGAAGGGAGAGGGATAGAGAGTTAGAAACATCGATGAGAGAGAAAGATCAATCAGCTGCCTCCTGCACACCCCCTACTGGGGATGTGCCCGCAACCAAGGTACATGCCCTTGACCAGAATAGAACCTGGGATCCTTGAGTCCGCAGGCCGACGCTCTATCCATTGAGCCAAACAGGTTAGGGCATGAATAGCTCTTCATTCATGCCTTGTCAAGGGACTTGGGCCCAGGGTATATTTCAGGATTACCCTGGCCAGGGAACTTCCAAAAATGAGTCTGGAGAAAACCATGAAAGGCTTTGCGTGGGTCCAGGTGGGATGGAGGACAGTACTGTTCCCTTCATTCCAGAGTATGGGGCAGTGATGGGTAGAATGAGTGTGGGTATGTATGAGTTTCTCAGAGGTGTAAGGCCTGAAGGCTCTGGGTATTCACTGCATCACTTCCAGTCCAAGTGTCTCGATTGGTCAGAGCAGAAAATTGACAGGTATTCATTTTAGTAGCTTCAGTTTCCAGACCTGTGCTAAGAATGGAATCAAACCACTGTGCTCAGAGAAAGACCTGGGATTCCGCTTCTGGGATGCTCTGGAATCCTTTGGGATATCCACAGTGTACCACATGGGGTAGTGACAGTTGGGGATCACTATGTGGGGGGTATCCTTTCTTTTGCTCCTGCTTGGTGCAGGGAGGGGTGTCTCTGAGCAGGCGGTAATAATACTAAGAACAGAGTTTTCCAGGCGAGGTAGGAGGGCCAAAGTCCACTTCTCTACTTTCTAACCTGGTGATTGGAGGGATGCTGGTTACTGGGGAGTGATAGGATCTAGATGACTTACTTCCTCTTTCTTAATGAGTTTCCTGGCCTTGTTTGCTGGGATGGGGGTAAGTATGACCCTGAGTTCTGAGAAAAGGGTTAGGTCTGAGGAAATCTGAACCTTGAGTACAGTAAAGGGAGCAGTGCCACTGCAGGCAGTGGTTGGAAGTCAGGAAGTGAGGAACTTGGATCAGAACTGTTCACCATGAAGAGGTGGGTATCTGCTTGTGTGTCACTTTGGCCATAGGCCACAGAAGAGAGGATCTGGACTCTAGGAGCAAATCTGGCTTGAGAACTGGATGTGGTGGAGTAGAGTGGATACTCAAGCCAGGCCAGGATTTTTTTTTAATCCCCACCCAAGGATATGTTTTATTAATTTCACAGAGGGGGGACGAGGGGAGGGAGAAACATCAATGTGAGAGGAAAACATCCGCTGCCTCCTGTATGGCAGCACAGGTCTGGAAACACAAGATACTAAGTGAATGTGGGGATCAAACCTGCAACCTTTATTTGTACGAGGCAATGCTCCAGCCAGCTGAGCCACCCGGTCAGGGAACTAGATATTTTCTTTTTAGGTATTGCTATGCATTCATTCATCCAAGAATGATGTGTTACTTCCCTCTCCATTCTCCCCTATGGCTGTTTTAGCTAGGGAGGTATCATCCCATAAATGCAAGATCTGGCATAGGCAAAAACAAGATGCCCCGTTGCTTGTTTTGCCGGTCAGGGCTCACAGACTATTTATTAACAGTCTGTTTAAAATAAACATAAAAAACATTTAAAAAGCAGTACCTTGCCCTGGCCAGCTTGGCTCAGTGGATGGAGTGTCGGCCTGCGGACTGGGGGGTCCTGGGTTCGATTCCGGCCAAGGGCACATGCCTGAGTTGTGGGCTCAATCCCCAGTGCGGGATGTGCGAGAGGCAGCCGATCGATGGTTCTCTCCCATCATTGATGTTTCTATCTCTCTCTCTCATTCTCCCTTCCTCTCTGAAATCAATACATAAATATTTTTAAAAAATAAAATAAAAAGCAGTACCTTTGTCTTGGCTGGGTAGCTTAGTCGTCAGAGCATCATCCCCACATGCCAAGGTTGCAGGTTTGATCCCTGGTCCGGGCAACCAATGAATCCATAAGTGAGTGGAACAACAAATCTCTCTCTCTCTCAAATCAGTCAGTAAAACTTTTTTAAAAAAGCGGTGCCCTGCTATTTGGCACATAATGGCAGTCAACTTTTTAAAAAAAATATATATGTTTTTATTGATTTCAGAGAGGAAGGGAGAAGGGGAGAGAGATAGAAACATCAATGATGAGAGAAAATCATTGATCAGCTGCCTTCTGCATGCCCCTTACTGGGGATAGAACCCACAACCCAGGCATGTGCCCTGACAGGGAATTGAACAGTGACCTTCTGATTCATGGGTCGACACCCAATCACTGAACCACACCAGCTGGGTATAGCACTCATCTTTGATGAATGAATAAACATCATTGTTCTTAACCAAACTGGGCACGGTGGGTACCCCATGAATTTTGGAAATCGGGGCTGAGGTAGAATTTCTTCTAGTTGCCCACAGAGACACCTTTGAGGGTGGAGGCCTTTCTGGGAGTGGTTCTCTGATTATCAAAGTTGTGCATCCAGTCAGGGCTGGGCCAGGACCATCTCACCTTTCTCTGTCCTTCAGGTTCCTCCTAATTTGATCCAAGGAGAAAGTGCCTTCTTGCGCTGCCCTCTTTTGGTGATATTGTTGTCTTAGTTTTTGTCCTTTCCTTTCCCACTACCACTCTCTTCACTTCACCCCCACTTCCCTTTCTGCTTTGGATTCCAAACAAAGCCTCAGACTGGGTAATAGTCTTTCTCCTTCATGACACCATTCCAATCAGCTGATACACATAGTACAGTATGCACTGTTACCCCATTGCTCAAAAACTTTCAGTGGGTTCCCACTGCCTCAGTCTGACATTCAAGGCTCTCCATAACCAGCTCGTACTTCCCTCTCCTCCTACCTCTACTCTCCTGGCTAAATCCCATATTCTAGTCAAACTGGTCCATTCATTTCCCCCAAATATCTGGCCCTCTTTCTCTCTTGTTTAAAAATACCACTTTCCTTTAAAGTCTTCAGAGCTGCCTATGATCTAATCACAAGGACTTTCCCCCCTGGTCTGGCTCCTTTAGCTTTGTTAGCACAGCTCATTCAACACCTCCCACACATTCCCTTCTATTGCTGTGCAGTCATGTGCCGCTTAATAGATGATCTGGTGTAGCCTATTGCTCCTAGGCTCCAAGCCTGGACAGTATGTTGCTGTACAGAACCATACAAACTAAATCAAGTACAAGAGAATGTAATGCAATAAAAAACTACAGTAACCAGATGTATGAGGCTGCTATTGGTGTAACAGCATACTGTTTTTACACAAGCTTTTAT